CCCTAAGGGACAAAGTTGTAGAGTTCATCAAGATCTAAAACTTTCATGTTGAAAGTTTTCCTTGAATCATCTTGCATCTTGGTGAAAAATTGTCATGAAGTAGTGAAATTATCAAGGTTAAAAAACACTTAGAATTGTCATGAAGTATTGAAAACTTTGAATTTTTATGGACTTTATTGAATTTATTGATTCTTGTTTACCAAGTTTGATATTTTTGAATGTCTTGATGAATCTTGATCTTTGAAATTTAATGTTGACCAAAAGGTCAAAGTTTGACTTTTTGTGTATTAGTTGACTTTTCATCGGCTGATCAAATTTCAACTATCAATCCATTAATCTTGAGAAATGATTTGAGCCATTAAATTAGGTCAAGATATTATGTTTGAATCCTTAAGATTATGATTCAAGCCATTAGGTCATGTACTAGGTCAAAAGTCATTGATCAGTCATTCTCAGTCAAAACCCTAATTTTGACAATTTTGCCCCTTTGATGATTTGAATGCTTTTCTTGAGGAATTGTGATCAACCCTTGATCAATTGATAAATATGACTTAAAAATGTTGATATTAGCCAAAATTCATGAAGCTTGACTGTATGTTGACTACAATTGACTTTTTTACCCAATACAACTCATTTTCAGTCATCTGAGCAACTGATTGAGCAAATTTGTGGTGCAAGACTTGAAACTCGGTATGAGTTCTTGGAGACCTATAATGAACCATGAAAGTAATTTGAAGCATCAAAAGTCAAATTTTCCTTGATAAAACCAAAACCCTAATTTGTGGGCTCAGTGCTTAGGAGGTGAGCTTGCCTGATCAACCCTTGAGTATTTGAGATCTTTTGGTGAGAGATGTCTTGAGAAAAGAGAGGGCAAATTTTGGGGTACAACAGGATAACTTGAGGAAAATTCCAAACCCCTTGATAAGAGTTGACTTATGGAGCCAGTAATTATGATAAATCCTAAATAATGATGAACTTTCCCTAAAGAAATAATGATGGTCCTAGGTAGCCTTGAGGAGGAACCTAGTCAAAATAAGAATCATTGTCGAATAACCAACACCAATGCTCTGGAACAACGAAAACCATAATTCTTTGGCTCTAGGTGCATATTGATGAAGAAATATTAGGATGGTGAGAGGAGCAAAACTCTAACTCAAAAACACTCTCAATGATGTCATGATGAAATCTTAAGCACACAGGTTAACCCTTAATGCACTTGCTCTTCGAAGAAAATTCTAATGAAGAAAACTTTATATCTTGAGGAATCTAGACAAAGAAAATATCCATGATGTTTGTGATCCAAAACCCTAGTTCCATAATCCAAGAATGATGAAAAAACCAGTTGAATCAACTTTAAATAAGATAGCAACCTCAATTCATAGGGAAAAACCCTAATGCCAAAGAGACATTTGATCCCATAACCATGGAATTGATGATATGCATGAGATATATATGATGTGATGAGGGATCTTAGAGGCAAAAATTAGGGTATAACACTTGATAACTATAACATTTGGGTGTTGCATGTGATTGTTTTAATCCTTGACATAATATCTTTTACACGCTAACATTTGATTCTTGAAGAGTCAGCTTCACACTTCTGTGAGTTATCTTTCTCAACTTGCGGTTACCTCTTTTCTTTTGATATCTAGTTCCCTTGGGTTTGAAAAAATAGTACATAATGATTCGAAAATCACATGAGAATGCTTGATCTTTGTGGGTGGTCTCTACTTATTCTTGAACTATATTTGTATTTTCCAGCGAGGGTAATCTTGATGGAGTTTTTCTTGATGTGGGTCCATCTTCTGATTGGGGTGTCTTAACCCTTAGTGAAAATGATTGAATATGCATCAAATATGGAAATTATTCCATTCCTTTTTATCAATGGCTCTTCTCGATCTTGGGAATTCATTTGCCTTAAATGATTATAAGATGGAAATTCTTAAGCATTTAATAGTGGATTTGTTACAACTTCATCCAATGAGTTCGGCGTATGTGAAAGTCATCCAGTATTTATGAGAATACTTGAAGAGGAAGCCTTTTCTGACTCTTTTCTTTCATCTCTTTAGAGTTCACAGTGGCCCTGTAATCCATATGCATGGTAGCGGCTTAATTTCTCTAGCATCGACTGTCCGGGCTTTGGGGATTTTCTAAGAATTTACAATATTTTAAAGATCAGTTCTTTCTGGTTACCCCTTTCACCCGGAGGCTTATGCAACAATTTGAGTTGTTGGGAATGAAGTGGAGGGTAAATATTTTGAATTCTTCCCTAATTATCGGACTGAGAGTCATTTCCTAATGGGAAATGAGCTGTATGTATACAAAGAGGAGGACATTTCTTAGAATGATCTGTATCAGCATAAGCGACTGACGAGTTTCGTCAAAGATCTAGGTTACCTCAGGGGTGGTATTCTTCAGGATGAGACCGACCAGAAATGCTTGAAACGCCTCATTTATACTCGTTTATTGGTGGATACCCGTACTGGGGAAGAAAGGAAGATTATTTTTTGTAAGTCTTGAAAGCTCTTGGCTTATTTGCTTCAACATTCTCTTAATCTTTGTTGTGGTTGGGCAAATGGTTTGGCTTATACCATTCAAATATGAAATATATCCAAATGCAATATTATTTTTTAAGACCCTTATAAGCTTCCCCTCTTCCAAGTTGTTTAAGGAATGACTAATTATGGTTGATTTTGTAAAGTATAAGCTCAAGGACACATACATCATGTGAGGCATGAGCTTTTTCAATTATGGTATTACTTATTTTTGAATTCCCTTCTCTAATTAGGAACTCGCTGTCCAAATCTTTATGGATATTGTCACACTCAAATCTTTTTTTTTTAATTTTTAATTTTTCAATTTGTAAGGCTTCAAGTTACCTCACACAATCTTCCACTTCATTATCAAGTGCTTCATCTCTTTTCGTAATGGAATTTATAAGATCTCACTCTAAAGGTGGAGATGGAAATTCATTTTTTATTGTTTCTTCCACTAGATGTTCAACCAATCCAATCTTAAAACAATGAGAACTCTCGTTTTGACAATGAATTGTCTTAAAGATATTTAATATTACTTGTTTGTCTTGGAATCTCAATGCAAGTTCACCCATTTACTCCTCCGGTATATGAACAACGTCTCCCTAGAATGAGAGATACCTTAAAGTCATCTTTCATGTGTTGGATCACTTGACTAAATTACATGGGAACATAAAATCATTGACTTTGAATAACATGTCCTCTAATACACCATAAGGATGTGTAACCGATCTATCAACTAGTATCAATGCAATCCATGTGGGTATGGTAAAATCGCAATCTAACATTTTCATCATTGAAGGTATCTTTCACTTTTATACTTCTCCCACAACTCACTCTTCACTCTTTACTTCGAGAACTTTTCTCTTAGTTCTCCTAAAATTTAAATTTCTAAGCACTAAACTCAATCACCTTGCATCTTTAATTTTTTGGATTATCAAAAGTATTTCCAAAAAACACTACATTTGACTAAATAATCATTTATCTCGATAGTCAATTAGTCTGAGGCTCAAAATTTATAATTGACTGTTGGATTTTTCTTGATTGGCCTTTATTGCTTCCAAGTTTCTTTGATTCATCTTCATGAATTGAGATAATGTCTCTTCTAGAAGAGAAAACTTCATGAATTGCTTGATTGAAGGTGTTTAGGGCTCTATAATTTGATGCTTGAACTTGGTTGTTATTCCACTTAAAATTAGGACGATCTTTCTATCCTAAAATGTACGTGTTGGAGAATGGATTGTCACTTTGAAAATTCCCCATACAATTAGCTCCATCATATTGCGAGTCTTTAAATTTGAAGAAAACTATGTTCATCAGTTGGAACCCGTGAATAACCTGTCATTGTTTAGTCCTTCTCTTATAGTCTCCAAAAGTATGTTTAGGGAAAGAATGTAAGAATTTTTTTTTAAAAATTTATGTTGTTTGGTTCATTTACTAAGAGGGATCAAAGTTAAAATTAATTCATAGTTATTAGCCACATGATTAAATAAATTCATAGGTAAAACTATAACCATATTTTTTAGCTTTCTCAAATTCAATTGTAGCTCTCCTACAAAACAATGGAATTTAGAGGGAGAACATAATTATTTATTAATTCGACTCGAGTGTTCTTTCATTTAGTGTCATCTAAAATACCATCTTGAAAGAAAAATATAATTTTACACTTTCCTTCCATTAAAATTTCTTCATTCTCCTTTCCTTGTAGAACCAAATACATTTTTTTTTTTAAATAAGCAACTCTCATTTTCAATTAAATCAATCAGATTTTAAATTTCTCTGAGATTCACAGTTGAATCGTATTATAGTACTACATAAATAATAATGTCATCTTGTTTGAAAAATAACAACAATGATACATATACATCTACTTATTGTATACTATGATCAACACCTAATTAATCATGTGTAAAAATATGGCAATTCTAAAAATATGGTAATTCAATTAAGTTAATAATTAAATCAATTCCAGTTTAAATTGTAGTTAATTCAACTACATGAATTAACCAAAATTTGAACTCTCTCAAATTCAATTTTATCTCATCCAAAAGAATGGAATTTTTAAGGTGGTCTTAATTATTTCTCATTTAGACTTAAATTTCATTTCATGGCATCTTAAATAGCATGTTGAAAGAAAAATGTAATTTTATGTACTTTTCTTCCATTAAAATTTGTCCACTATATTTTCCTTATAGAATCAAACACATTAAAAGACTTTCGTTTCCTTCCTCTCCATTCTCCTTTTCTATATGAAAATGAAAAGTAAAGCAACCTTAATTAGCAAGATAGAACAATATCATAAATAGTTTATTTCACACAAATACATAGATATTGTCTGGTGGAGTACAATAATACATAGTACAAAGTACAAAGTAACCACACAAAATACTAAAGTTAAATTATAAAGTTGTGTAGCAATACAGACCTAATATGGCGGTGGTCCCTTGATCCATCTTTAATATTGACCTAATAATCATAGCCGTATCCACCACCGGAGCGACTATCACCACCATCCCTACCGTACCCTCTTCCAGAACTTTCATCACCATATGCACCACCAGAGTTCCCTCCATATCCATAGCCTCCACCAGAATAGTTTTGTTCTCCATAACTCCCACTTGATCGTACTCCCTCACGGTTATCAGCAGCACCATAACCAGGACGTCTAACACCATAACCACTTTCATTATTATTTCTATAACCACCATCAGAAGAACGTCCACCGCCATACCCACTGTCGTTAATATTCCCATAACCACCACTACCACCGTAGCGTTCACCGCCATATCTACTCTCATTATTATTCCCATAACCACCACTGGCACCATAACGCCCACTTCCATATCCATTCTCAGTATTATTCCTATTATAACTACCACCATAACGTCCATAACCACTCTCAGAATGTTCAGTAACCTTAACCTTATTTCCATAACCACCACTTACACCGAATCCACCACCAGAATGACCAGTCTTTCCTCCATAGGAAGAGTCGTGTTTATTAAGATAAACAGCGGCTTTGTCAACGTACATGCCAAACCCCTTACTCTCATCAACACCAGCTGCACCTAAAACATTGGAAGCGGCAGTTGCTACCTTGGCCTTGTCCATCTTGCCAGGTTCATGGTTGTAAACTGATTGTGCTGCATCCGACAACACCTTAGCAGAGTAGAGAAGCTCACTATTCGAATGGTTCTGGCCGGGACGATGTTGTTTCCCTTGACCACCATAGGAGCTGGTGTTGTAGTAGCTGTCCATAATTTCTTGTTTTGAGATCAATATCAGAAATTAATAAAGTGTTGTTATTGTGATGAGGTTTCTTGGGTATAGGGGAGGTATTTATAGAGAAGATTATTCCTTGAAAAACCTGTGAAAATTTCTATTGATGAGTTGGGTTGGGTCACACCTTGTCTTAAGAGCTTTTATCGCTTTGGCTAATGTTACACGAGTACTACCACTTGGTTTCTTATGGTAACTTCAGTCATAGGATGATGTTGATTTTTTGTTCCTTAGCTTTTATGATGAGGGAACTTTAATTATTTGTTTATTTATTATTTTTTCGGGTATATATATTTGTTTTTTATGAGAATTTTTTCGGGTATATTTAAAAGAATATACAAACTAAAAATATTTCTATGGTATAAATAATGATTAAAAGTATAAAAAAAAAACGTATGGTTAATGTTGAAATTTAAACTAATCTAAATAAAAATAATAAATCTAATTCAAAAATTTAAAATTGCATAAAATTTAATATTTTTTGAGATGTATTTGTATCTCATTTTTTAAAAATAGCTCGGATCAAATCCAATTTTAAATTGAGTTTTCGAAAACAAACCGAACTAAATAATATATATATATATATATATATATATATATATATATATATATATATATATATATATATATATATATATATATATATATATATATATATATATATATATATATATATATATATATATATATATATATATATATATATATATATATATATATATATATATATATATATATATATATATATATATATATATATATATATATATATATATATATATATATATATATATATATATATATATATATTTATGTTAGTATAATCTATTATTATATTAATCTATTATATGTTATATTTTACATCAAATATATTGTTTTGTCGTATCTTTAGATTTTTTTTTACAATAACCAAGTATTAAAATAATATTTCGTAAATAACCGCGTTTCAGAAAAAATTACGCAAATAACTATGTTTCAGACGACTCCCCAAAGAAAGAGCCATCTCACTTGGCGCCTCCACCCCTAGTTTTGCCCTAGGCGCCATCTCACTTGGCGCCTCCTCTCACTTTTAGCCAAGTGAGATGGCGCATGCACTTTAAAAGTGAGAGAAGGCGCCATCTCACTTGGCTCCTAGGGCAAAATGTTGTTTTATAAATAATTTGTCTGTTTCTTCGTCGTTTCTCACACTTTCTCGCACTGTTTTGTTATTTTTTACTTTGTTATTTGCGTCATGACATCGCCCATGATTTTTAGCAGAGATGGTTACGTTATCTTCTCCGCTGCGAAACCTGCGATGAAAATGAAATTCTGGCACATTCATTCCATGGAGCGTCTGAAGCGGGAGTTGATGAGATGGCTAGATGGAGACATTGCGGAGGGGGAAAAAATTCGGAGGATCCAGCAAAGACGAACAACAACCTCACATGCGACAAGAAGACCTAATGTATGGTTGGAGGAAGTCAAAACAGACAGCGATGTAATGTTGATGATGCATGGGTCAGATGAAATTGTGTTAACAGTTGTAATTTCGTAGACGAAATATCGTGTATTTATCTTGTACGCGCAATACTTATTGTAGCAAAATCTGTTAACGGAAAACCCTAATGTTTACAACATAATTAATGAAAGATTTTATGTATTACAATTTTTATGTGGTCGAGGCAGACGCCCGATTCGGACAATTTTTGCGATTGTGTTTCGACCTGACGACATAAACCACACTTTCTTTCCAGCTTGTCAAGATCGTCCATTTCTGTTGTGATGCGCTTACTTTTGGGACGACCCTTCTTGTTCCTTCGCATTTGGTCATTGTGCCACACTATTTCGCTGTCGTATGCAGGCCCATAATCTGGTTTTGCTACCAAAGGAAAGCTGTTGTTGTAAACATTGAGCAACGTTTCAGATTTGTAAATGTGTGACAGAAGTTGCAGCGCGTCTTGATGGGTATAAGCACAAGCGGCAATGACATGAGAGCAAGGCATACAAAATGCTTGAAACCTGCCACAATCGCACCAACGAGAAGGTAGCATGACCCTATATTCTTGTCTTGGCAGGCCTTCGTTGTGGTCGATTATCTCTTTCACAATGAAGTTGTGGCTGTGTCGGTCAAACTGTATAACCATATGAGTGTTGGCTTTAGCACTTTCTGCCTTAATGTATTTCATGCAGCTTTCACTCCATAGTTGTCCAGATTGCAACACCGCATTCCATATTTCACCTCTTTTGGCAAATAACGCAGCCATCCTAAAATACGTAGATTTTACCAAAGCAGTGATCGGGAGGTTTCGTATGCCTTTGAATACCCCATTCATCGATTCAATAAGATTCGTTGTCATGTGCCCCCATCTTTGGCCATTATCGTATGACCTAGTCCATTTTCCCACCGGAATATTGTCGATCCACCTACCGGCTTCCGGATTTGAAAAATGGATCTCGTTGCGGTAATATTTGAATGTGGGTTGTGTCAATGCATATCCCGCATTCATAACTGCTTTCCTTAGTGTTTTGTCCTTGATCTCCCTCGTGAAATTCTGGACGATATGCCTAACGCAATAGACATGCGTAGAAGGAGGTTCATGCCAACCGTTTGCAGGATTATTGTAGGCACTTTCAATGGAGGCATGTTTGTCCGAGATCAAACAGAGATCTGGTTGAGGAGCCACGTGTGTCCGCAGATTTTTCAGAAAAAAGCTCCAAGCATCACCGGTCTCCTCCTCGACAAGGGCAAAGGCAATGGGGAAAATGTTGTTGTTGCCATCTTGTGCAACTGCCATCAGTAGCGTGCCTTTGTACTTCCCATACAACCAAGTCCCATCAATTTGTATAATTGGTTTGCATGATGCAAACCTTGTGATGCAAAGTTGAAATGCCCAAAACACTCGACTGAATATTTCGTTGCCGTTTAGTAGACTACCATCTTGGGCGTATGCTGGCACTGTTTCCAGAACGTAAACAGTACCCGGAGAATACGTCTTGAGTGCATTCAGGTAGCGAGGAAGTTCTTGGTATGACTCCTCCCAGTTTCCGTACACCTTTTCAATCGCCTTAGTCTTTGCTAACCACGTCTTACGGTAAGACGGAGTATAGTTAAAAACTGTGGTGATGTGGGAGATGATTGTTTTCACCTTCAAAGATGGGTCGTTGCTGACCAGTGGTAGGATTTCTTGACAGATGAGATCGTAATTAAGTTTTCGGTGGTCCTGTGATTGGGTAGAACTTGCACAAGTGTGGGTAGTCATGGAACCTATGACCCAACAATCACCTCTTAATCTGTATGATGCAGTTAGCTTGAACATACAGTCCGGGTGGACACACTTGATCTTGTACCTTTCTGGGTTGACACGGTCCACCTTAAAATAAACCGAGTTGAGCATGTGGAATTTTTTTATGGCTCTGATGCATTCCTCTCTGTTACGAAACTTGTCCTTCTCTTTTAAATTTTCATCCAACTGCATATACGGATTAAAAAATAAGTCAGTAGATGGTTCATCTCCGCCCATGTTGAAGTTTGTCATGTGCGGAGGTGGTGTGTAGATCTCGTTTGTAGGAATACTAGGTATGCCATCATTGTCGGAATCATCATTCACCATTTCATCAAACTCTAACTCGTCATCTTCTTCTTCTTCATCAACTGCATATACCTCGGCTTGTTCATTCTCCAAAGGATCAACCACTTGTGTCACCTGAGGCTCTCGCAGCATAATGTACAACTCAATAGAGTCGTACCCAGAATACACATGGCTGGAAAACATATTCTGGAGATCATCGTCATCTTGAACTTCAACCTTATAAAAAATTATTTGGTTGTTTCCAAAAAAACTGGATTCTGATAAAATATTTGTGTCACCGGGCCTCGTCCAAGTTTGGCCTCCAATCGTTTTTTGAAGTACGAGAAATTGGCTTTCCTGTTTAAGAGAAATTGGATGTTGTCTGTGTCTCTAAACAAAAACCCAGTGGTGGGACAAATGTATGTCTCACCGTTGAAATGTGCTTTGACGACATGCCTCACACCAACACAATTACACTCAAATGCTCCACAACCAACCACAATCGCCACCTCAGTACCAATACCCCCGTATGCCTCACACCCAACCACAATACCAATCACAATACCAACACACCCGCATACCCCACACACAATTTCAGTCTTCCGTATATCCCAATATGGGCCCCTCAACATCCAGCCTTAGCCCTGATCTGGGAATGTCGGAAGATTACGAAAAAACCGACTCAGCCTACCATCAACCACAACATCACCAAACCACCCAACATCCTCAATACCAAACACCCCAAGATCCATTTCCTTTCTACCCATTGTACTCAGACGATCAATGCTTCAGACCCACCATGGAACCCCACCCACCGCCAACACGACCAAACTTTGAGGGTATGGGTAACCGACTGTACCAAAGCGGATCTTCTAGATATGGAGATCTGACTGATTTTATGGATCCATAACGCATTGACTTCGCTGGGCCATCGACCCTGCCACAACAGGAAACGCGACGACACCCAGCACGGGAAAGGCGAGGACGGGGATGCGGAACCGGGGGTCATTACCGGGTTCCGGGGGATCACTGATTTATCTGTTTTTTTTATCTGTTTTTTTAATGTAATACATTTGGATGTAATTATTTTTTTTAATAAAAAGTCAATTTTGTTGATCCTGTATCCAATACACAACGCACCGGACCAAAAAAAAAAGCAAAATTTGCCCTAGAATTACACATAGGCGCCATCTCACTTGACTTAGGACATGCCCTAAGCACATAGGCGCCAAGTGAGATTGCGTCTCCCCTTAAATAATGGGTGTAGGCGCCAAGTGAGATGGCTCCTCCTTTGGGGAGTCATCTGAAACATGGTTATTTGCGTAATTTTTTCCAAAACGCGGTTATTTGCGGGAAAAAATTTTAATACTTGATTATTCAAAAAAAATTCGTATCTTTATAGTATTATTAGTAATTAAAAAAAATATGATT